GCTACCCAGTCGGTCATCGTCTCAGAACTATTTAGTCAGTACAAAGTTTGTTTCGATATACAAGCTTCAACCATAAAAATAGGTTGTTCAACAGTAAACTGTATCTCCGGAGTAGCTATGGCTGCTTCCAAGGTACTGTTGCTTTTGTTACGTGTTTCTAGTTTCTCCTTCCGAAAGGTTCAGCTTGCTTCCTGTCAACTTTTGAGTGAATAATTGTGAACTTAAGTAAACAGTAAACAGGGCACTTTCGACAAAATAATTCTCAGGCGACGCTATGCCAAAAAGTGTCAATTAAATAAATTAAAATAACTTCATCATTCTGAGATTGAACACATATCTACAGTGTGCAACACCAAGGAGCCAAATTCAAACCAAACATTACACCAGACACCCGTTATCGTGAGCATGGAATTGTTTTGACAAATATTTTTGCCCATTCCACTCTGACTTGAAGGAGCAGGGTAGCAAAATACATTCCTCTGGCTACCAATGCCATCCCTTGCTCTGAATCCTTGAAATCTGAAGCGAGGAACACTGACATCTACCCAAATAAGAAATCTCAATACACTACTTTCAGTTTTCAGTTGACTACATACATAGTGCTGTGGATCAAGCCACATGCAATAGTACCAGGTGACCTAAAAAAACACCTTTACTTTACCCACGGAGACACCCATAAAAACGGTTACAATAGAGATAGAAACACAAGATTTCACAGACGTACTTGGTCACCATCCGGATTTATAGTGACAAATTGACAAATAAAAATGCCAAGTTTGAAAGAAGTTCGAGCATATGCTCCATGTGGCGATACCCGCTCTGAGGCGCTTGGCGAAATTGTCAATGACATTTTCCATTTGCTCAGCCTTTGATGTACCCGGATCTTACTTCAGCATGCGCCTAACAGATTCTCTTACAATAGTTGATTCAATACTATGATGACGAACTGACTTTATAGGCTCTTCGCTCACGGACTCCATCACCACTGCCACATTCTCAGGAGTGCGCACTTGCATCGGTCTTCCACTGTGGGTGAACCTAGTTTTTGATCTCTTGTTTTTATTTTCAACAGAGTCACTTAAGTATTGTTACTTTACTTGGTATTTTCTTACGGTCTTTGGTGTTAATTCCAAACCGTTTACAGAAGAGATTCCGTGTCTGCATAGGGGACTTTGTTTCAAACATAAAACACGTTGTTCAACAGTAAACTGTATCTTTGGAGTAGCTATGGCTGCTTCCAAGGTACTGTTGCTTTTGTTACGTGATTCTCTTCCCGAATGGTTCAGCTTGCTTCCTGTCATTACTGTCAATTTTTGTGTGGAATTGTGAACTTCGGTGGAGAGTTATAAGCTTTCCTGCAGGTAAAAATTGTTTCTGGAAAGTAGAATATATAATACCATCACACTTGTATGTAAGAAGACCAGCTAACCCCAGCAGTGTAAATTTTACAGGAAAAACAAAAACGTTTACTTGATTTCAATCATCACACAGCAACCTGCCAGTTGTTCAGTTTATTTATAGCGTTTTAATTTTAGGAGCCTTTATTTCTAGTCAAAATCAGACCCATTTTTGACAAAGCATTATATGAAAAGGATAATCAACTATCGATTTGTCAAATAAAACACAATTTGATATTTTGAGGTTTAGCTGGTCTATCACAAGGGCAATGATGTGACTCTAGCTCAGAACTGCTACAGTTTATGATGAGCCAACTTGGGTGACAAACGATGGAGTGGTTAAGTTTTAGTTTTAGTAAGAATTTTAAGGCCCTTTCAACACAACAAGGTCAGATAAGTGCCAAACATTAGAAGCCTTACAAGAGAGAAACAAACACAAAAAAAGGAGGGGAGATAAAGACGATAGATGTTTGAATGATAGGAAAGAAAGAGCAAACCACATCAGAGCACCCACCAACCACTCACCTAAGGGGCTTGAGAGGTAAATAACGAAAAACAAACAAACAAACAAAACAGAGAGGCACAAAATGAGGTTCTATTTAAATTCATTTATTTTTTGGTAGAACAATACATTCCTCTGATTTATGAAGTGAAAAGCAAATCTTGGTGAAATGGTTAAATCATAGAAAATTGACAAACCTCAAAGAGGGAGAGAGTAGCCCACCAGAGTAACAGCCAATGTGACAAAAATATAACAAGACATCAGAATAAAAGATTCTGAACCCAATTCTTTATGTTTATCCTAGCCATAAAATCAAACTCTCACCAAGGTGATAAAATTGAAGAAACTGACAAGTCCTGATCGATAGGCAATTTTTAACATTAACAATTTTTTCTTTTGGTTCAACATCTTTTACGCCCTTTGGACAACACATTTCTTTGATCAAAGTTACAAAGAATGTAAATTAGCAGTTTCCAAGGTCCAAGGACTCTCATGCTTTGGAAGTCACCAACCTTGGGCCACCATTTTCTTGGTAATTTTACTTCTGGCACTAGGCAACCCCCCACTTCCTTCAGTCACAAATATCCCATTGTTTGGTACCTCTTACCAATGCAATTCGTTTGTTCAGAGATATGAGATGAACAGGATTCATTTCAAGATTTCGCATGCAGAACCAGACAAAATAAAGAACGTGGGAATATTAAAAAACGTGCATTCTCCAGTACCAAACACCTAAAAAAAAACAACAAAAAAAAACCCATTTTATTTCTATCATAAAAAGAAAGGAATAAAAACCACCCCAAAAAATCACAACATTAATACAAAAAAAAAATAGAATGATGAGAAGAACATCAATAAAAAAAAGAAAAAAAAGATTAAGGATCAAAATAGAAACACACAAAGCACAGGAAAATACAGGATCTACATAAAGGCTGGAATACTAGAGTTTGTCCGTCAACTTCTGATGAGGACCATTGCATCTGCAGAGGAGAGTATTTCTTAGAGAAACAGACGAAAATTAGGATGGATTAAGGTGATTTGTGGCTTATGCTAAGGCTAATAAGGCCAAATCTGGCACAGAAGAGTTTGCCACAATTTGTGCATTTAAAAGTGTCATTTCCACGTGTGGATGTACTTACAGGCTTTTCTCTTGGCTTCAGCATTTCTAATTCGAGCTTGGTAACAGTAGGAGATTTTCAGTGAGTCAATGATAAGGACAGTTGTGATGATAAGAAATAAAAAGGGCAGACCGCACAAGACCAACTGCCAACCACCCACAGCACATTAAGACGTTCTCATCTGCCACTCACAGAGACACACAATCCCACCAGCCCATGTTGGTGCAGTAGTACAGAAGTATCAAGTAAAAAATCCCCACCAAACTACCAAAATATTACGATTGTTTTGTTTGTTTGGGTAAAGACAAGCACATCGGCACAATATATAACAGCCATTAAGCATAGGGAAAAGCAAGGCAGATACAAACGACAGAAGGAAAAAGAAGAAGTAGAATCTGCCTGCCGTGCCCTCCGACAAGCCACAAAATAATACTAGAGGACTGGTCTTCAGTACAACTGGTCGATGCAAATGCCTACAACACTGTTATGACATGACACTGAAACTCAATCACACATCAAGTCGCCATTAAAGTCAGCCATGGGCTGGAAACTAGAACAAGACACATACGTTTGCACATACTATCGACGCACAAAATCCCTGCCAATGCCCATAAAACAACACAGCGGAACAATAATTCTTTTGCCGCAGAAGAGTGTACCAAAATAAAGAAAAATGACTTTCGAAAAGTAGTCTCTTCTCTCTGTCTCGAAGACCAGACACCCAGCAAAGAAAAATATACACAAACCACTTCATGGTACAGACCGAAAGTGTGAACCTCTGTGCATTGGTAAGCCAACAACCACAGAAAAGTGCAATAAATATCAGGTAAGCAAACGAAACCTGGAAAGTAAGACATACCAATCTACGATAGATGAAAACACTTTTCCTTTTTCCAAAAAAAAAGTCTGCTTTATGAATTGAGCTAAGATTTACAATGAAATACACCATTACACAACTATCCCCTAGACAAACTAAGCTTTATCTGAATGTTTAAATGGACTCCCACAAACTGCACATAATTTACGAGTAAGTGACACACGAAGCTACAGTTAACAAAGATTAACTTTTCCGCTCATCCGTGAAATCTTAACGACATTTTGATTCAATAAAAAGAACATTATTTTAAGAGGGCAGTAATTTAAAGGAGAAAAAAAAGACATAGCATAAACCTTACAGATAGAAACAGAAACAAGTAAGGCTTGTGGATGAGCCACACATTCTCCTGCGTTAAAAAAAATGTAAGCTATTCAAGCACACATGCAACTATAAAGTCAGAGATGTTTCGTAAAGATCTTTCCAATTGATTTATCAACTTCTTTCTCTTTACTATTCACAAATCAGGTCTAAAACTTAATAATTTTCTACTGCATTGGTAAAAAACAATGGTAGACAAATAAAACCTATTAGTGTACAGGGCAACCCTATCAGCACCATCACTACTTCCACAATCCAACAACATAAAAAAACTTTTACTACCGTGACTCAACACTTACGCAACAGGTACGTGCGTACAAACACTTACTAAAAATCATTCTTGCTTGAGTAACAGTATTTCATAAATAACCGCTCCACTCTGTTGAGGAAACAATACACAGTGCCAATACAGCATATCAAATGGAAAAAAAAGGGGCTCATTCTTTCAGTTTCAGTCATACAGAGCAACCAATACAAAAAACAGTACAGTGCACCCTTGCTAGAGCAGATTTCGCTATCCTTTGTATTAAATAAATAAACCGCATGAAATCTCAGTAAAGTCAGAGATCGTGTCAGGTTTTGAGTGTCGTTCAGAAGGTGTATATAAGCATGCCATACCTCTATTCTGTATCAACTTTCTAAGTAAATTTATTTTTTCCTTGTCACGTTATTCCACCAAAACTGATAATTCGAGAAAAAGCATCTTCCAGCCATGCACTTACATCACGACTTAAGCACGCATAATAACATCCTGCCATCAGTCAGCTAAAAAAATTGGTTCTGTACAATTACATGTTAAATAAACAGAAGTTCCCAGAAAGGATTGATGGAGAGCTGGGATCTTTTCCCCTTATTCTAAAAACCCCCCACGAAATAAAAAAACAAAAAAAACCCAAGCAAAATGACATTTCTATTCTATCTCTGTAAGTCCGCTTCAACAAGGGCCCACTGCACCATCAATCACTCAGCTATCATCATCATCATGGCCATCATCAGATCACAGCACCCAGCCACCGCCCGCCCCCTCCCCCATCCAGTATTCAGTTCTTGGTCCTGAAATAGATGGTCTCGGGCTGCACGACGCCGCCCGTCAGCTCCTCCTCCACGCCCTCCAGCACCCAGTCGTGCTGCGCCACTTCCAGGGCCTCCCACTCGGCCTTGAACGCTTTCATCGGGTCCGGGGGAGCCATCATGGCCGAGCCCGACATCTGGTCCTGCATGGCCCGAGTCTGGTCGGCCGCTGGGGAAGGAGAGAGAACAGTCCTCAAGTGATAAACTTTTTGCTTTGGTTTTAGTAAGAGTTTACAGCACTTGCAACACAATAAGGTCATATAAGTGCCGACGATTAAAGGTGTTACAAGAGAGTAACAAACATAAAAAAGAAGGAGGACAGATCAGGACAAAAGATGTTTTATAGGAAAGAAGGAGCAAACTGATAAACTTTGGGGAAGGGGGGAGATGTACAATACATAGCTACCAACTTTTTAAATTTAAGAAAAAAAAAATTAGAGTACCCATGTGACAGATCAAAATGGTAGGCATTGGATTTTTAAAATTTTAGTAAGAGTTTTACGGCACTTGCAACACAATAAGGTCATATAAGTGCCGAAGATTAGAAGTGTTACAAGAGAGTAACAAAGATAAAACAGAAAGAGGAGAGATCAGGACGATAGATGTTTGATAGGAAAGAAGGAGCAAACCACACCAGAGCACCCGCTATCCACCCACAAGTGATAAACTTTGGGGAAGGGGGGAGAGGTACAATTTATAGCTACCAACTTTAAAATATAAGAAAAAAAATAATTAGAGTACCCATGTGACAGATCAACATGGTAGGCATTGGATGAATAACCGCCTCCACACCGGTCACACACACTTTTCTGTGTTATAAAAATTCAAGCTATTCAAGCAGACGTGCAACTATAACGTAAGAAATGTTTCGTAAAGATCTTTCCAATTGACTTATTAGCTTCTTCCTCATTACTATTGGCAAATCCGGTCTGAAAGTTCATAATTTTTCTACTCCTTCGGCAAAAAACAATTAACACGCATTTTCAAATACCATAATCAAAATGCACTTCGAAACTCAGACCATTAATTAAATATGTTTTTTACATACTTGTTGGCAGTGACGGATGTATTAGAGTTAAGGGACATTAGATAAGGGACATGTTCAAACAACGATGAAGACTTGATGGACATAGACATTGCTAATTAAAGTGAAACTATCTTTGCTCTACTGTCTTCAAACAACTACACTTGAACCTGCTCTAACTGCCAAATGCCAAAGACAATCACATGCACAAATATATTAATGATTGCTTCCCACTTTTTCTGTTTGGTTTAGTTTTAGTAGAGATTCTACCGCGCTCACAACTGCATAAGGTCATATGAGCGCCAGAAGATTAGAGGTGTTACAAGAGAGTAACAAACATAAAAAAGAAGGAGGGGGAGATGAGGACAATAGATGTCTGATAGGAAAGAAGGAGCAAACCACAAAGAGCACCCGCCAACCACCCACATTTTTTCTGTATCATAATGACACTGTCCAAGACATCCACCTGTCTAAGACAACTTTTCTCCTCGATAATGGGAGGCCGTTTTGGACAATTTCAACTACGTCATTATTAGCAGTAGCTGACAACAGGTAAAGTACAAAACAAGATGTAAACTATTTGTGAACATTAACAACTGAATTAATATTCAGTTTGCATAGCTATTTTTATAGATGGGTATGACGACAGAAAACATCTTTGTGCAACAATCATAATCAGATCAGAAATTTTTAAAAAGTACAGGAGAGTAAATAATACACAATAAAACCATTAATTCAACCATCAAATCAAGAGCCTCCATGCATATCAATATTGAACAACGGAAAACTTTTGAATTGCCACAAATAAATTGATGCAACATATTGGCAGGAAAATAAACAAAACAAATCAAACAAAAACTATTTTCATGGCAGACGCCTGCCTGCTCAGCATTTAAAACTTACTCTGAAATGAGTATGGTAAAGTAAAAATATAATGTAACACATAGATGGGCCTGCCAGATCATGAAAGCATACTACGTTTATAATATACATATCTTCCCCTCACCATTGTCTTGTCCAAGAATCAGAGTGTACATACTCCGAAGACCAAACACATTGAGGAAATACCAAGACGCTGAACTGACCCTGAAAGGAAAACAAATGGAGTCAAAAATTTATACCCCCTGAAAGGAAAACAAATGGAGTCAAAAATTTATACCATCTCTTCATGTGTGTTGATGAGTCAATGTGTGTGTATTTGCCATGCCACAGTAACTTGCTCTTTGTGGAGATCAATAAAATCTTATCTTATCTTATGACATATGAAACTGAGTCCAAGCAGCAGCCTTGCATTGGGCTAACTTTTCTCCACATGTAGGGAGTTAGGTACCATATGTGACTTACCGAATACATTTGCCATGTAATATGTTTACTGATACATTTCTTGTACCAGTAAAAGGCTTGAATATAACTGAACAAAATTTCATAGAATATTTGTGATCAGCTGACATATTCAGATAACACACTGGGTTTGATGAACACACAAATAAATAGCACCTGACTATAATGGCAACTTTTCAAAGATACTTCATACTGATAGAACAAGTCAGGGATAAAACATACCATTATATCTCAAGTATGATACAATGGATAACCAAACCCTATTGAGCAAGTTGAACATCCATCCCTATCACTATCACATACTAATCATTTGACAACAGCCTGTCATACAAAAACTATCTCGCTAATGCACATACCATGAGGCATCCAATGTGATGAGCTCGACTCCTCTTTGTAACATGGGCTTGAAACGGAAAGTCAATGGAAATGGCACCTTGGCTGAAAAGGAAAAACGTTAAGAAGCTGTACCAATTTTGCTATAGTTAGTGCTACTAACAAACACATCAGAAAAATAAAGATAATTTCAATTCAAATTTTGTGGCATTACAGGGTTGAAAATGGCATTTTGCATCGTTTGAAGAGATTCTCAAAAACCTATTACCTATGTTTTTCACCAAGAGTTTCTAATTTCCCCATCTACATCTAAAACATTAGAGATTTCTTTGAAAATTCGAAAGATTGGAAGCACTGTATGGTGCCAGACAAAGATTATTTTCATGGAAATATTTCAATATTCTCATCTACTTCAATATACAAAACATGTTTTATAACTTAAAAACCCACAATAATCTTTTTGTTAGAATAGAATACGAGCATCATATCAACTACTTATCATTAGAAGACATTCAATTATCTAAATGAACACTTGAAACAGATACATTATTTATTGTGCAGAATGTCCCATGCCAATGCAAAATGCTGTTGAATTCAGCCATTTAGTAGTCAGTTACAAGAAAGGTAAAGAACATTTCTAGCTCTGACTCACTGGTGAGGAAACCTGAAAAGGCCCAGTTGATCCAGCCACCAATAATGATCATAGGCAGAACATTCGTGACATTGCCTTTCATCATGTCTGTCATCATGGATGGGTCTGATGATAGAAAACATCTTTGAGTTAGAGTCAGAATCGGACCGGAAGAAAGAAAAGGATGGTAGAAAACACAATACACAACAAAATCATCAGGAAAAAAAAAAAGATATTCAATTCAGTCTGCTTGTAATTATGTGGGTCTTTTTTTCTGGTCAGTGTCTTGTGGCGCTCGCGACTGCATTAAGGTCATATGAGAGCGCAGGACACATGAAACATTTTTCAATTGGTAGGAAATTTTGAATTTTGCCCGGGTGGCAGTCGAAGCTTACTCTTATCGATTTTAGACCATCAAGGTATCTTTATTTAACGAGCGCAACTTGCACACGGTATGTGGGTCTGATGATAAAAAAACATGCTACAATCTCATTCAGATCAAAAGAAAGAAAAAATTGTTAAAAAATTTTTCCCCTTAAATTCAGTCGGAATAAATGTAATCATGAACAACAAAACAAAACCAAAAAAAAGAAAGTAGAGAAAACCACCCGCAACTTCACATTCTTTGTATTATTTTAATATAACCAGACACTGTCATTCACTCTCCAGTTTTGCTATCAGACTTCCATTAAAAAATATTTGGTCTGCAGACTGTGAAACAATAAATTTAATAAGCTAAAATCAAGTAACAATAATAACTTTACACGAGATATAAAAAATGAGGTGAAATAAAAGACGACAGTAGAGGTTAAAAAAATAAATGATGTCCATCCTCAAAAAAAAAAGAAAAAAAAGTAGCAACCAGTTGTAAAAGTTGTATCAAAGTCACTTCTGTGGAACATTCAACTACCTACCTGTCATTGGATTTTTAGCTTGTGCTTCCCTTTTCTCAGTTTTGAAAAACCCTCTCTCTTCATTGTTGAAAAAACTCTTTCGAACCAAGAAGGACTGTTTGGGAATATACTTTCCATTCTCCCGGAGAAGGCGACTTCGAATTAGGGCATGACTGGGGAAGAAATAAAAAGAACATTATCATAAAAAGACTCCATATTTTTGTAAATGAAAATGTGAGACGGTAGAATAGAGAGATATAAATGAAGGAATACTAAAATAGTAAGAGTAGTCACCTTTCAGTTTGCAATATTGTGCCAGATTTATTTACCGCACACTATCAAACTAGCTCACACTTTACCAGTTTCAATGAAAAGCGCCGGGGTCACTCAACAGTCAGCATGTGTGCCCTAGGAGGTCAGGGAATCGCGTTTTCACTGGGATTACCATGGAGGTGGCCTAAATTTAATTGACAATGACAATCATGCCTGATCTTTTGTATCACACAAAAACTTTCTAAACAATAACAAGTGTTATGAACACATGAACAATCCCCTCTGAGTCTGAGTCATTACAAGTCTTTACCAAATCAAATAAAAACCCTTTTAGATGCCTGATGATGTTATCATGAATGATTTCTTTCGAAAGGAAAAAAATATATAATAAGTAATTAGTTCAATTTCCAAATGTTTCGCTCTCAAGGCCAATAACACACACAAACAAAAGACTATTAAATGCACACACTTCAGCTGCTGAAAAATGGGACCAACTGTATGTAACTCGCATGTTCTAATATATAGGCGGTGCCCATTGGAGGATTGATTCAGTTCGTTTTGGCTTCTGGCAGCTTCAATGCACACTATAAATAAACCAACTGCCCAAACCAATCACCTGACGCACGGCCTTGAAAACAAATGCGTTTGTTAAATTATTGAATGTTATCATCGGTCTTGTCTGTATCACTGGTTTTGCCCTTACCATTGAGGACATTCAAGCTAGCCCCAAACCGACAAAACTGAACCGAACTGATGATGCCAACGGGCAGCCGGTATTTAGCTAAGCAGGGCCATGTCACAGAGGAACACACCAATTTGGGAAGCGGGGGTGCTGGAACATTATTAATTTTAATGATTATGACATGATACTAATCGGTGGAGTGCATTGGCTGTGGCTGGCATTGATGCAGGACCCATCTTGGAGGCGTTGGCGTTAGAGAAGTTAGATAACTATTTTTTCCTTTTGTGCCCTATCATAAAGAATCATAGAAATTAATAATCCAACAAAATATTGAAAAAGGTTGACAAAGGACAATCTAGATTCTTCTCTTCTGATGGTGATGTCCAATGGGGTAGATCTAGGGTCTAGGCTACCTATCATAAAAAAAAGGGCCCGCTCTATTTCTCTGAACGCTCCAGAAAATAAACTTGAACTCTATTTCTTCTAACGGTTTCCGTTCTCAAGATTTGTTAATTATATTTGCGAATGAAATGGCCCAGACGCACATTTGTGTGTGTGTGTGTGAGTATAAGTATAAGGTGTGAAAGGGGAGGGGGCTGGAGGGATTTTTTTGTTTACATGAAGGATTTTACTTTTTGCTTAAGGGATGACTTAATGCAAAATAGGTTTCTGTCAAAGTCGAGCAGTCTTGTTTTCTCGCAGTACCTTTTGAAGGCATTTTCAAATGAAGTATAGTCAAGGAAAATCTTGAGAATGGAAACCGTTCAGAGAAATGAAGGTCAAGTTTATTTTCCCGTGCATTCGGAGAAATAGTCATTTCGAAAAAAAGGAAGTGGCTATCCTCACCCGAGGTGAGCATAAAAATACGATCGACCTCTCACCCCGGGTGAGACTTGTTAGCGTTGGCTATTCTCACCCGGTGTGAAAGAAGACCTGTTTTTCCTAATTCCGGAATACTGTCTATCGGTGTGGATGATCAAATAGACAAAAGCAAAGAAAAAATACAGCTCAAAAGTAAGCTAATTTGATAGTCAACAAAAATGCTATAGATGGTTATTTTACTTTTCGAATCGAGCCGAACTAAGCGGGTTGCCATTTTGTTTTTGCCAGGAAGTTCTCGCAAGATCTACTCCTCCTCTTTCTCTCTCTGACGTCTCTGGGTCTCTTTCTGAATACTGTCTATTGGTGTGGACGGTCAAATTGATAAAAAACAGATAAAAAATGATGTTAAAACACAAAATAAGTAGTCTTCAAAGATGCTACGGCTATTTAACTTTTCGAATCGATCCAATTCCAAACTACGCGGGTCGCCATTTTGTTTTGCCCAGAAGTTCTGGAGCTACTCCTCTCCCCTCCCCTCTCTCTCTATCTTTCTCTCACTGCCCACAGACAAAATTGCACGCTTTCAACACAAGAGCGCTGGAACTTTTGTTCAAGGCACAGAATTCTACACTTCTTCTGTTCACAGTGTAGAATTCTGTGGTTCATGGTGAACGCTACACTGGTTGGCGTAGGCTATCACGGTGAACACACACCGGGGGGGAATTGCCAGAAGACTCGCCTGCACTATTCTCAACCGGGGTGAGAAGGTGGCCCGGAAAAAAAGTCCCAACGCCAAGGGCCAAAGGCAAAGCGGTACAACTTAAGAATCTGGGTCCCATCTGTTTAGACTAGGCATCATCCACACAGAGTACTGGATATCGATACTGACAAAAATATTCAGTATCGATGTTCTACCAGTAGATCTAGATCCAGCCTACAAAATGAGCATTAAAAATTCACTAGTTATTGACAAGGGAAGGGGGGGTTTCAGGGGGGCAAATAAAAACATGG